TCTTTTGGTGTGCAGAAGTTCAGTTTAATTAGATCCCATTTGTCAATTTTGGCTTTTGTTGCCATTTTGGCTTTTGGTGTTTTAATCATGAAGTCTTTGCCCATACCTATGTCCTGAATGGTATCGTCTAGGTTTTCTTCCAGGGTTTTTATGGTTTTAGGTCTTATGTTTAAGTCTTTAATCCATCTTGAGTTAGTTTTTGTATAAGGTATAAGAAAGACTTCTTCTTTTCTATTGTGTGCATTTAATGGTATAAATTTCCCTCTTGTAACACTGTTTTAGCTGTTTTCCACAAATTGGTATGTTGTATTTTCATTTTCATTCAGTTCAATGTATTTTTTGTAATTCAAGACTTGCTCACTGACACACAGAAGCATACTGTTTAGTTTCCAAGTATTTGTAGATTTTCCTATTTTCTGTTAAACTCATTTCTAGTTTAATTCCGTTCTGTTTGGAGAATACATTCTGTATGATTTCAATACTTCAAAATCTATCGAGGTTCATTTTATGGCCCAGGACATGGTCTATATCTTGGTACATATTCTGTGGGCACCTAAGGGATGCTGAAGTCTCCAACCATAATTGTGAATTTCTCTATTTCTCCTCGCAGTCTATCAGTGTTTGCTTCACATATCTGGTACACGCATGTTTAGCATTGTTACATCTTTCTGGAGGACTGATTCTTTTATCATTATATAATGTCCCACTCTGATAATTTTTTTTTTTTGCTCTTAAGTTTACTTTATGTGATATTAATGTAGCTACCTATCATTTTCAACCTAACTGTACTATTATATTTGAAGTGAGTTTCTTACAGATACCATATAGCTGAGCCATTGTTTTTAAAATTCTCTCTGCCAATCCCTTTTGTGTATTTTGACCACCAACATTTAGTTATTGATATATGAGGGCTTACATCTGCCATTTTACTTTTTTTCTATTTTCTTTCTCCTGTCTTCCTGTAGGCTAATCAAATCTCTTGGCTTTCCTTTATTCCCATGGCTTATATTATTTCTGGAATACACTGATAATCACATCAGACAGTGTTTGTTTACTTCAAACATCAAACATAATTTGCAAGACTTGAAGAAAAAAGTCTATCATATTTATCCATATTTTTATTTCTTATTTTTCTTCTTTTATGGTTTTCTAAGATTCTTTCTTCAATCATTTCACTTCTATTAGAAAACTTTCTTTAGCCATTCTTTTATGCAAATAATCTGCTACTAACAAAGTCTTGGTTTTTCCTTCTCTAAGAATGTCTTGATTGCACCTTCATTTCTAATTTTTTTTTCTTTGCTTGGTAAAGGATTCTGGGCTGATAGTTCTTTTCTTTCAGCTCTTGAAAAACACTGTGCTACGTATGTTTATTACGGCACTATTCACAATAGCAAAGACTTGGAACCAACCCAAATGTCCATCAATGGTAGACTGGAATAAGAAAATGTGGCACATATACACCAAGGAATACTATGCAGCCATAAAAAAGGATGAGTTCATGTCCTTTGCAGAGATATGGATGAAGTTGGAAATTATAATTGTCAGCAAACTATCACAAGGATGTTCTCACTCATAGGTGGGAAATGAACAATGAGAACACTTGGACACAGGGTGGGGAACATCGCACACCTAAGCCTGTTGGGGGTGGGGGTGCTGGGGAGGGATAGCATTAGGAGAAATACCTAATATAAATGACTAGTTGATGGGTGCAGCAAACCAACATGGCACATGTATTCCTATGTAACAAACCTGCACGTTGTGCACATGTACCCTAGAACTTAAAAGTATAATAAAAACAAACAAACAAAAACCACTGTGCTATTTTCTCTGTCCTCCATGGTTTCTGATGATAAATCTGCTATCATTAGAACTGTTTTTCCACTGGTAGGGTGCCATTTTTTTGCTGCTTTCAAGATTTTTTTTCTGTCTTTCATGTTCAGACATTTGACCATACAGAGGTTTGTCATCACGTGGATTTGTTTGGGTTTAACCTCTTTGGGGCTGTTTTCAATCTGTAGGTTTATATACTTTTTGCCACATTTAAGAATTTTTCAGCCATTACTTCTTTGAGTATTTTTCACAGCCATTCCTTTTTCCTCTCTTTCTAGGACTTATGATGAATCGTAGAACATCAGCTTTTGTTATAGTCCTATAGGTACCTGGGGCAGTGTTCATTTGTTTCCTCAATTTTCTCTCTGCAGTTTAGACTAAGTAGTTACTACTATTGTTCTATTATCCAGTTCACTATTTCTTTCCTTTATCTCCATTCTGCTGTTGAGCCCATTCACTAAGTTTTTTTTTCCAGTGTACAAAGAGCTTTGAAAGAGTTTTAAAATTCCTCAATTACTATATTTTTTCAGTTTTAAAATTCCTATTTGGTTCCTTTTTTCCATTTTGCATTCCTTTTGCTCAAATTGTTTGTTTGCTAAGACTCTTTTGTTTCAAGCATGTTCCTTGTTTGTTGAGGCATTTTCATGATTGCTGTATTTAAATCTTTGTAAGATAATTCGAACATCACTGCCATTTCACTGTTGGCACCTATTACCTTTTTTTTTTTCATTCAATTTAAGATCTTCCTGGTTCTAGGTATGATGAATGATTTTCTATTGAAACATAGGTATTTTAGATACTATTTTATGAGACTCTGGGTCTTATTTAAACCACTGCTTTAGTTGGCTTCCTCTGACTACACTCCAACAAGGGAAATGGTGGTGGTAGGGTGCTACTTCATTATTGCCTGGGGATGGTGGAAGCAGAGCCACAATTTTTTCTGTGATGTTTGGCTACAGAATGGTTACTTTCTAAGAGTGTTCTGACTTGTGAACACTGTTCTGACCTGCCTATTTCCTGGTTCTCTGGCTAGAAAACTTTTTTTCTGCGCCTGTCGACCTTTCTAGGTTGCCTGTTTCTCTAGCACCCAGTCTTGGGTATGTGGCAAAAAGAAAACTAAGGGAAATCATCACTATGTCATTCCTCTGGCACCAAGTTCTATAGCTGGTGTGTAGTAGGCTATACCATCTAGGCTTATGTAAGTACACTCTATGATGCTCACATGACAACGAAATCACCTGGTGACATATTTCTCAGAATGTATCCCTGTTGTCAAGCAACGCATGACTGTATAATATTTTACCTAAGAAAGAATTCTTCAGTGAAAATATCAATGCTGTAGAATTACTGTGGTCAATTTCTATGTTCAAGGGTTAATCAGAAGAGCTCCAAGTATCATTCTTTTTTTTTTTTTTCTTTTTTTCTTTCTTTCTTTCTTTCTTATTATTATTATACTTTAAGTTCTAGGGTACATGTGCATAACGTGCAGGTTTGTTACATATGTATACTTGTGCCATGTTGCTGTGCTGCACCCATCAACTCGTCATTTACATCAGGTATAACTCCCAATGCAATCCCTCCCCCCTCCCCCCTCCCCATGATAGGCCCCGGTGTGTGATGTCCCCCTTCCCGAGTCTAAGTGATCTCATTGTTCAGTTCCCACCTATGAGTGAGAACATGCGGTGTTTGGTTTTCTGTTCTTGCGATGGTTTGCTAAGAATGATGGTTTCCAGCTGCATCCATGTCCCTACAAAGGACACAAACTCATCCTTTTTAATGACTGCATAGTATTCCATGGTGTATATGTGCCACATTTTCTGAATCCAGTCTGTCACTGATGGACGTTTGGGTTGATTCCAAGTCTTTGCTATTGTGAATAGTGCCGCAATAAATATACGTGTGCATGTGTCTTTATAGCAGCATGATTTATAATCCTTTGGGTATATACCCAGTAATGGGATGGCTGGGTCATATGGTACATCTAGTTCTAGATCCTTGAGGAATCGCCATACTGTTTTCCATAATGGTTGAACTAGTTTACAATCCCACCAACAGTGTAAAAGTGTTCCTATTTCTCCACATCCTCTCCAGCACCTGTTGTTTCCTGACTTAATAAATATTTACTGACTGCTTACTATGTTGAAGGCACATGCTAGCTGTTTCCCAAGACCCTGACCTCTGTTATCCTTACAACAGTGATTCTTAAATCATTTTTCAGAACTACTTTCTCTAGTTGCTCTTATAAGCTGTTCTTATCCAGAAATCGGGAACTAAGCATTACTTTGGATAAACTACAACTTTTCTTAGCTTCATTACCACTTTTTATAAAATAAGAGTAATACATTTACCTTAGAAAGGATCAACTATGTAATCATCTATTTATAATATGTATAAACACACTGCCTCCAAACACATACAGCATAAAAGAATACACTGTGTTCAGAAAAGTTCCAACAGTTCAGGTTGATCAATGGAAATAATTGAAATAATACAAATTTCATCAATAGATGAAACAGAATTCTCATGCTTTGTAAAATATTACACAGCAATACTATAATACTTTAAGCAGAAGTGGTGATGTGATAATATATTGACAGTTAAAAAAATAAATAAAATTAAAAAAATAAGCAGAAGTGGATATAAATAGCTACAAATGTTCTGGTGTCTTGAAACATTTTCAAATTTCATTAGCGTGTTCTTTATTTCCCTCCCATGCAACACAAAAAAGATTTCCCTACCATGCAACCCAAAGAACTCCAATACCTTATATCTGTGAGTACAGTGGGTTCCCAGAGAAGAAAGCCATTTTGCTCAACATAATTTGAAAGAACAGAACTACACTATCCTCCTCCATTGGCCAGACTGACTTTATATGAATGTGATTAAAATATAACTCTCAGAAACTATAGGAAATTGTTTAGAAAAAGGGAGGGAGGGAAAATATGTACAAAGATGTAAGAAAGCATTCAGGCTTTAAGAGAAGGCTCAATATGATTTAAGATTCTGACAGAAGGTAAATGTTGCAAGGCATTTCAAGGGGAAGAAATTTTCCTACTTTATGATGTTCAAAGGCCATCCGACTAAAAACTTAAAATAAGTAATAAAATGAAGATATGTAAAACATTTCTATTAATTATAAAGATGAACATTTTAAAGGGCCTCTTATTTACCTCTTCTACATTGGAAGCAGTCTTAGCAGACGTTTCCATGAAGATAAGTCCATGTTCTCGTGCAAAAGCTTCACCTTCTTCTTTTTTTACTTCTCTTCTAGATTCTAAATCACTAAATATGGGAAAGAAAGGGTCACATTATTAATCAACATGGTACAAATAGAAGCATCTGTGGAAAGTATACCATGGAATTCAAAGTTGTGATGACCATTCTTTTAATTAATTTTTAACATACTAACTGTATTATTTAGGGTATTATGAGGGTTAGTATTTAGAACACTGTCTAGTTTCTTAAGAACAATCCAACAGAAGAAAGAGTCTGTGTTAGAGTTCTAGAATGTTAGAACTAGCTGTAACTTAAGGGAGCCTCTAGTCTAATACCTTGTATCTTTGAGTACAGTGCGTTCCCAGAGAAGAAAGCCATTTTGCTCGACATAATTTGAAAGAGCAGGACTATACTATCCTCCTCCATTGGCCAGACTGACTGAGTTTCTATGAATGTGATTAAAATATAACTCTCAGAAACTATAGGAAATTAGTAAAATCCAAAGTACTAAAGATACATTACATCATTGATCCCAGTTTGTTTAATTCCCAGTTTCTTCTTAAAGCAAAATTGATATAGACAGAGAGGGAGAAGGAGGGACGAAGGACTAGAGAGAGAAAAGGAGAAAGGGAGGGAGAGAGAAAGTATAAGCTAGAAATTTCCGATGAAAGCAGGGTATTCATTTTTATCATACTAGAATTGTATTAATGAGGCGGGGCAGGGGAAGTAGCAGTCGCTTTTAAAGCATGTTTTATTTTAAAAGTTAAAAAACTTTACTATTTATTTCTTTTTACATAGTATTTACTATTACATGTTTATACATGAAAAAAGATGCATGATAATATCCACATACTTCCAGCTAGTCTGGACATATTATTTGCTAGATTTCAGGTTTCTTTCCCCTTAAGAAATAAAATCAGCAGAATCATCACCTGTGTGTCTCTGATCCCACTCTCCTCCCTCTTACCCTAAAGGTAACCATTACCTGAATTTGGTGTTTTCATTCTCATGCATGTTTTTGCATTTATACTCATGTTTATAACCATAAATGGTATTTCTTTTTCATGTGTTTAAAAATTCAGATGTAGCTACTGTTTTACAACTTGTTAACTTTGGTCAACGTTATGTTTTTCAAATTTATCCATATAACACATGTAGATCTAGTTTATTTTTTAACTGGTGTATTACAGTCTACTGAATGAATGCAATACAACTTAAATTCTCTATGAGACAAAGTTATTTAAAATTTTTCATTATTACAAACAATGTTACAATAAGCATTTTATATATATATTTTTTGTGTATACATGTGCCAAGGCTTTTCCAGGGCAGTTTTTAAAAATTTTTTCAGAGACAAAGTCTCACTATGTGGCTCAGACTGGTCTTGAACTCCTGGACTCAAGTGATCCTCCCACTTTGGCCTTCCCAATTGCTAGGATTACAGGACTGAGCCACTGTGCTAAGCCTGGGTAGGATTTTTCAAACTGTGTCATGACTCAATGAATCGTAAAAATCACTCAGTAGGAAATAATCAGAATTTTTTTAAAAAAAGAAACAATAGGCCAGGTGCAGTGGCTCACACCTGTAATCCCTGCACTTTGGGAGGCTGAGGCGGGAGGGTCACCTCAGGTTAGGAGTTCAAAACCAGCCTGGCCAACATAGTGAAATCCCTTCTCTACAAAATACAAAAATTAGCTGGGTATGAGGGCGGGTGCCTGTAATCCCAGCTACTCAGGAGGATGAGGCGGGAGAATTGCTTGAACCTGGGAGGCGAAGGCTGCAGTGAGCAGAGATCATGCCACTGCATGTACTGTTTCATGGAACTTATGTATAAAGGTATAATTTATGAATATTTCGTTTTATGTGTAGGTGTATACACAATTTATTTACTAGGTCATGACGTAAAATATATTTCTTACCATAGGTCAAGTCAAAAACTCAAAAGCCATAGTACTTGACTATATAGTTAGTGCAAAGTTTTAAAAATACCTCAGTTTTCCAGGCATTACATCATATTGTTGTCTTAGTTCACTCCCTCTGAATCCCACTTAAGTTGCTTAGGTTACTTAAGTATCTTTCTTTTTAATTCATGCCCCCTTTTTGTTTAGGGTTTGCATTGTAATCCTTATACTATTAAAAAATTTTCATCTTTTAAACGTCTGCTTCCTATTTCTTATATAACCAATTTATTAATACAATGCCATAGTAAGAAAAATCTGTGTCATCTGTCGCTCTGACTAGGTCACTGCCCTTCACTGGCTCCCTACTGCTTAATGCCTCTAATTCAAAAATTGCTTATTCCCTGCTTTGATGTCTACCCACAATTCAATTCATCTAAAAATAATCATCTCATTTATTTCTGTTCCTTCTTGTTCATTATACTCCTGATTTTAAAGGTCACCCACCTACGATCATCAGAAACATCTCTTGTTTACATACTATGCTTTGTTTATTTCTTCTCACATTTGAACTATCAGCTCCTAGTGGTCGGCAACCAAATTTAAGCCACCTGTCACTCATCATGCTCATCATGTTTCAGACACAAGGAAAAAATCGGTAAAATAAAAGGATTAAAAATTCTCTTTATTCTCCAAGTATTTTCCTCTTATTATTTCATACCTTGAATGGCAGAGTAACTATTTCCATCACAGAAAGACTAAAGCTTCCCTCCAATAGCTTCATAACCTTAAAAAGATTTAGTGAGATGATTTAAATGTGGAAAAGAATACCCAAGAAAGGCCTTCAGAGAATATAATGGTTTCTTCTCTACACAAACAAGCAATGTTTACCTTTTTATAATGTAAATATCACTTAAGTAAATATTTTCTCTTAACAGCAAATCTCAATTTCTATTAAAAGAACACTCTAAAATCTATACAGTGTAATGATGTTTTACATTATAGTTTTACAGCTTTTTTGAGGTGTAATAGACATAAAAGAAGTTGTACTTAAAAGCAAAATTTGTTTAGTTTCAAGATATGTATGCCTGTGAAGCCATCCGTCTCCCGAACGTTTCCTCAGACTCCACTGTAATCCATCCCTTCTTGCCACTGCATCCTAGGCAGCTGATGATCCGCTTTCTGCCACTACAGATTAGTCCGCATTTACTAGGATTTTTATATAAACGTAATCACATGGTATTTTTGGTCTGAGTTTTTTACTCTGTAATTATTTTGAGAATCGTCCATTTTGCTGCATGTATCAATAGTTCATTCCTCTTTATAGCTGAGCCGTAGTCTGTGGTAAGGCTATATCACTATTCTTCCGTTCATCTGTTAATTGATATTTGAGTTGTTTCCAGTTTGGGGCTATTACAAATAAAGCTGGTATGAGTATTTGTACATAATTCTGTGGACATATGAAGACATATTTATGTTGTGTAAACATCTGGGAGTAAAATGGCTAGGAAATACAGATGTGTGTTTAATTTCTTTTTTTGAGACAGGGTCTTGCTCTGTGGCCTAGCCTGGAATACAGTGGCGTGATCACGGTTCGCTGCAGCCTCGACCTCTCAGGCTTAAGTGATCCTACCCCCTCAGCCTCTGGAGTAGTAGCTGGGACTTTAAGTATGCACCACCATGTTCTGCTACTTATTTTAAAAATTTATTATTTTTGTATAGACGAAGTCTCCCTACATTGCCCAGGCTGGTGTCAAACTACTAGGCTCAAGTGATCCTCCCGCCTCGGCCTGCTAATTTCTAAAGAAACTACCAAATTGTTTTCCAAAGTGATTGTATCATTTTATGTTCCCATCAGTAGTATATCTTCTGTAGTGAACTGCTGGTTCAAATCTTTTGTTCATTTTTAAAAACTGGATGTCTTCTTATTAATGAATTATAAGCATTCTTCATATATTCTAGACATAAATCCTTTGTCAGTTATATGTTTCACAAATATTTCCTCCCAGTCTGTAGCTTGCCTCTTCATTTTTGTAACTGTTTTTCTTCAAATTTATTTATTTAAATTGATAGATAAAATTGCATATATTTATCATGCAGAACATATTGTTTTGAAGTATATATACACTGCAGAATGGCTAAATCTAGCTAATTTGCATTATCTCACAGTTATTTTTTGTGATGAGAACACTTAACATCCACTCTTTCAGCATTTTTCCAGAATGCACTATATCACCATTAACCATGTCACGATGTTGTATAATAGTGTAACTGTCTTTTGAAGAACAAAGTTTTAAATTCAGTTAAACAGCAATTTATTGATTTTTTTCTGTTTAAAGTTCATGCTTTTTTCTGTCCCATTTAAGAAATGTTTGCCAAAATAGGGTTACTAAAATTTGTTTTCTTTAGAAATTTTAAGTAGTTTTAGCTCTTACACTTAGGTCTATGATCCACTTCCAGTTAATTTTTGTATATGGTATAATGTAAGGGTTGAGGTTCATATTTTTACACACGACTATTAACTGATTCAGCACCATTTGATGAAAAGATTACCCTTTCTTCAACTAAGTTAGCATCTCTGTCAAAAAATTAATATATCATATATATCATTAATATATCATGAATCTACTTCTGGAATTTCTTATTCAGCTCTGCTGATCTATGTCTGCTTATGCCAAACAATATTAAATTGATTATAGTATAATAAATCTTAAAATTTGTAGAATAGTAAATTCTCTTCAATATTGTGCCTCTTTGTCAAAGCTGATTTGGCTATTCGGTGGACTTTGCATTTTCATAGAACTTTAAAGTAAGCTTGTCAATATCCACACTCCGAAAAAAAGTCTGCCAACATTTGATAGTTTGATTAGGGTTACAATGAAACTTTTTTTTCCCCCTTGGAGACAGTTTCGCTTTTTTGCCCAAGCTGGAGTGCAGTTGGCGCAATCATAGCTCACTGCAACCTTGAGCTCCTGAATTCAAGCAATCCTCTCACCTCTGTTTTCTAAGTAGAGCTAAAGGTGTGTACCAGCAAGCCTAGCTAGTTTTTTTTTTTAAATTATTATTTTATTTTTTGTACAGACAAGATCTTGCTACATTCCCAGGTTGGTCTTGAACTCCTTGCCTCATGTGATCCTCCTGCCTTGGCCTCTCAAAGTGCTGGGATTACAGATGTGAACCACTGTACCTGGCCTTCAATGAATTTTTACATAAATTTGAGAAGACATCTTATATTTAGTCTTACAATCCATGAACACGGTTATATCTCTTTATTTAGTCTGTTTACAATATTCTCTTTATCTTTTTTATTTATAGTGATGTCAACCTTTCTTTCCTGATATTGCTAATGTTTGTCTTTTTCCCTGATCAGTATCTATTTTATTTTATCTTCTGAAGAACTAGCTTTTGGTTTCATTGGTTTTCTCTTTCTCTTTTTTTTCACGGGCAGGAGGCTTTCCTTGAGTTTGATTTGCTCTTATTCCAGTTTCTTAAGGCAAAAAAATTATGCTATTTTTTTTGTGTTTTTTTTGAGACAAAGTCTTGCTCAGTTGCCCAGGCTGGAGGAGTACAGTGGCATGAACAGAGCTCACTGCAGCCTCAACTGGGCTCAAGTGATTATCCCACCTCAGCCTCCCGAGTAGCTGGAACCACAGGAATGCACCATCATGTCTGGCTAAATTTTATAATTTTTTGTAGAGATTGAGTCTCCCTGTATTGCCCAGGCTGATCTTGAACTCCTGGGATCAAGCAATCCTCCACCTGGGCCTCCCAAACTGTTGGGATCACAGGTGTGAGCCACTGTACCTGGCCCTAGGCTGTCCATTTAAACATTTTCTTAATAGTACTATTTTAATTGCATCTCACACATTTTCAAAGATTGCAGAGAGACAAGTTAACTTGTGGGAATAAATGCAAATAATTCCTGTCCATGGAAACGCAGACTGTGTCCTGTGGAATAAAATTAATACCCTGTTAATATTGTTTAAATGTGTGGTACTTTGAGTTCCCTTCTGAACTGGTTGAAATATCTTACCAGTTTCCTTATCTTGTTAATTAATGAGATAAAAGTTTTGAGATGTCCTCATTATCACACAAGTCATGATTTTGCCTATCTAATATTAATATAACCCTAAAGAAGGAATCGGCTGGGTATGGTGGCTTATACCTGTAATCCCACTACTTTTGGAGGCCCAGGTGGGAGAATCACTTGAGGTTAGGAGCCTGAGACCAGCTTGGGCACAAAGTGAGACCCTTTCTTTATAAGAAATAAAAAGATTAACTGGGGGTGGTCATGCATGCCTATAGTCTCAGCTACTTGGGAGGCTGAGGCAGGAGGATTCCCTTGAGCCCAGGAGGCCGAGCTGCAGTAAGCTATGATCACACCACTGCACTCCAGCCTGGGTAATAGAGATCCTGTCTCAAACAAAAGAAACAAAACAAAATAAAACAAAAAGAATGATGCCTAGCATTTTGAAAATACTAATATTTTCTTACCACTGTAAGTTTCTACAAAAATTAGTGAAAACTTTCCCATACTCTTAGAAGTTTATGGAAACTGGTCAAGCAAGAAGGTTTTCTCATATTTTAAATGGACAGCACAAAGATGTTCAATCCACCTGCTCAAATAATCAGTAGGTTTTAACTTTACATCAGGAATCTGATAAAACTCCTTCAGATTACTTTTTAAAGTACTTCTTTACACAAAAACCATTTCAAATAATAACAGTAATAATTTCCAAGAAAGTTTATTATCATCATTTTAAAAATCAAAAGAAACACCTTAGAATTTCTGAAATTTTATAACTTAAGAGGCTGGTAACTCACAGTTGAACACATGTTAAGGAAAGTAGTCAAATAAACAGTACAGTCTTCATCACTAATGCAATGTAAACTCTAAATTAGCCTTTTTACCTTTTATTTCCAATAAGCATAATGACCATGTTGGAATTGGAATGCTGGCGGGCATCTTCTAACCAGGTTGTCAAGTGGTTGAATGTATCTCTCCTAAACATAAATAATAATTTAATTACTATGTTCAAAGCATTTCCCTCAGTATACAACGAACAATATACACATTATTAAAGAGAACCATTTTTAGCCACATCCACTTATGTAACGAGAAGTAGTTTTAAGCACCATATCTGCGTTTAGAGTTCACTGATTACATTTCAGTTTATAAATTTAATGTAATCACACTTCAGAAAATTCCAGTGAATAAATAATATTGCCAATTTCAATTTGAAGGTGCTAATTCAAATAAAAACAATTCAGGTGCAGGTTTCTGTAGTAAATTTAAATTGGACTCAAGACGCAGTTTTAAAGGTGAGTAGCCAGGGCAGAAAGGCTAAGCTGTTCTTTCATCACTGTTAACCACATTTATTTAGAAAAATTCTCTGTATCGACTACTGAATTGCAAAGTTTTCAAGTTCTCACCGTGTAATATCGTAAACTAGTAAAGCTCCTGCTGCACCTCTGTAATACGACCTTGTGATGGAACGAAAGGATTCTTGCCCTGCCTGTGACGAAAGAAAAGGTTGGAGAGTTTCCTTTAATACAATGTCCTCTATATTTTTATATTATTCATATACAGAATACAGGCAGGTAGGGAAGGAGTGCATAAAGGGAGAGAAGAAAACTTAACTTCATCAGTCTTAGGAAAAAGTTACAAAATACCACTATTGCTCAAGATTGCTCAAGTCAACCAGACGCACATGTAGTGCACACACAGTCGCTCCTGCAACCTCTCCACCCCGCAAGACCTCTAAACCCTTTTTGGCAATCCCTGACAACCCAATTTACTGAATGGCTTCACAATACATGAATCATTATTAAAGGACAGAATGGACTCCTAGCAACTAAGCTCTGAAGACAAATTTGAAAGGAAGCAAATAACCCAGAGCCTCACATTTGAATTCAATAACCCACTCCCTGGGGCAGCTGTTGACACTAGAATAAATAAAGCCCATTGTAAATAAATGATGAATGACATCTTTACGCCCACCATCTGCTGGTGTAAAGGTTGTTGGAAGGCCAAGGATGCAGATTTTATCAGTTATATCATAAACTGCAGTGAGCTTTCAACAGTCATCAAATGGAATTCTTTGAGCAATCATTTTATTATGAAAAACAAAATGGTTCTGAATTTAATTTATATAAGTTTTTTCTCCACACTTAATCAATTTTCTCTGTATTTGATACATAACGCTTGTCAAAAGGCAACAGGATGTAAAAGTCATCTTTATATCCACTTGTGAAACAGACACAAGAGATTATGCAAAGCTAGGTGATTTCTCTTTTACTCGTGGTACTAATTTGTGTTTTTTTAAGAATTGCTGGGGAGGAATGTGACTGTTGTCTCTGAGTTTAAAACTGGACAGCTCTTATAAGAAGTTATTTTTCATTTTTAATCCCTTCTTTTTCTATTTTTGCAAAAATGTAAGCATTTTAATTAAGTAAACGTAAAGCCAATTTTAACGATTTTTATATTCAAAATCCCCTAACTTGAAAAATATTGACGTTTACACATTCTGAGTTCTGATCTTGCAATGGAAATATTTAGCCCTTCCCACCCTCAGAATGCGCATGTTTAACACTCAACACTCTACAATACCTTGCTCTTCTTGGCCCTTCTTCTACACTCCCTCCCTCCCTGACCCCCTGCATGTGGCTAAGTGTGTGCTAGGCACTGGGTCTGGCACATAGCAGGCATTCAGAGAAAGCCTGTTGAGTGAAAAAATGGAAACACAGGCCGGGCATGGTGGCTCCTGCATGTAATCCCAGCACTTTGGGAGGCCATGGCTGGTGGATCGCTTGAGCCTGGGAGTTTAACCCATTTATGCCTAGTCTTCCATTATTGGAATGCTAAGCTTGTGGGAGTTATTTATATCCTACTGCTCAAGGTCACTGACAAGGTCTGATTTTTCACAAAAAAAATTTGCAACCTCCTGCATAAATGGGTTAAGACCAGCCTGGGCAACATGGCAAAACCCTGTCTCTACTAAAAATACAAAAATTAGCCCAGTGTGGTGGCACGCCAAGCTACTTGGGAGGCTGAGGGAGGAGGATCTTCTGAGCTCAGGTGAGAAGGTTGCCGTGAGATGTAACTGCACCACTGTACTCCAGCCTTGCTAACAGAGCAACACCTGGTCTCCAAAAACAAAAACAAAAACAAAAAACCAACAAAAAAGTGAAAGAAGAAATCCTAATGTCTTAGTTATACGCATAAAATAATCAGTACTCCATCCCATGTAGCTGAGTGGACATCTGTAAATCCTAACATGCTAAGATTCAATGCAAATAACTTCTCCCATGTGGAAACTAACAATTAGACCCTCTCTTGGCTAGGCAATTTGGGTAGTTAGAATAATATCATGCTAAATTAGATAGTGAGAGAGCCATCACATAAAAGGGCTTTATAAAAATAGCCAAATCATTTCACAGAGCTTAGGTTAAACTGAAGACAGCTGGGTATAGTGGCTCATGTCACTTTGGGAGGCTGAGGCAGGAGTATTGCTTGAGGCCAGGAGTTCAAAACCAGCCTGGCTAACATGGCGAGTCCCCATCCCTACTGAAAAATTTTCAAAATTAGCTGGGTGTTGTGGCTCACACATGCAGTCCCAGCCACTTGGGAGGCTGAAGCAGGAGGATCACTTGAGCCTAGGAGTTCAAGGCTACAGTGAGCTATAATCACACCACTGCACTCCAGCCTGGGCAACAGATGAGACCCTGTCTCTTTAAAAAAAAAAAAAAAGAAAAACAACAACAACAACAACAACAACAAAACCCCAAAAAACTAGAAGATACCATGTTTTTATTTTAAATTCATTGTTTTTTAAAATTTATTTTTTATTTTTATTTTTTTACAGAATTTTTTTTATAGAGACCAGGTTTTACCATGTTGCCCAGGGTGGTCTCAAACTACTGGACTTTAAGCAATCAACCTGCCTCGGTCTCCTAAAAGTGCTGGGGTTACAGGTGTGAGCCACTGTTCCAGGCCAAATTCACTGTTCTGAAGGCACACTGGCAGGAAATACCTTCTTTCACTGCTTAGCACAGGAAAACTAAGGACTAGATCTTTAGGGATTAATTTCACTGTAAATCCTATGTATCAAGAAAGGATTCTGTGTTAGGTACAGTAGTTCCCCCCTTATTTGAGGTTTTGCTTTCTGAGGTTTCAGTTATTGGTGGTCAACTGCAGTCTGAAAATATTAAATGGAAAAGTCCAGAAATAATAATTCCTAAGTTTTAAATTGTACACTCTTCTGAGTAGTGTGATAAAAGTCTCCCACTGTCCTGCTGCTCTGTGCTCCTGGGGATGTGAACCATCCCTTTGTCCAGCCTATCTTCACTGTATACACTACACTACCTGCCTGGTAGTCACTTAGTACAGGTTGAGCACTCCTTATCCAAAATGCTTTGAACCAGAAGTGCTTCCGATTTTAGAATATTTGCATTACACTTATCAGTTGAGCATCCCTAATCTGAAAACTAAAATTCAAAATGCACCAAAGAGCATCTCCTCTGAGGGTCATGTGAAAGCTCAAGAGGTTTGGGATTTTCAAATTACGGTGCTTAAACTGCAGCTGTCTCTGTTATGGGATCGAAAAACTAGTATATATAGAGTTCAGCACTATCTGCAATTTCAGGCATCTTCTGGGGGTGTTAGCATCTATTCTTCATGGATAAGGAGGAACTACTGTAATACAAAAAAGATACATATTTTGTTAGTTCAAAATAAAAATCAGGTTTACAGCTCAAATATCACCCATGGCTGATCATTAAGCAAAGGTAAAGTCCTTTAAAACAATCTCTCCAGGGACATTCTGTGCGATGAATTAAAATGAACACATTGCTAGAAAAGCACTACTATAAGATCTAAAATTTCCAGTTTAGAGTCTAGATAAAAGAGTAAAAGACAAAATAAATTTAGGAAAAGGAGAAAGGCAAACTTTCATAACCATTCTCATTCCTTCTGAACTGTTTTGCAAAGAACAAAACATGTTCCAATATGGAAATAACTTACACAATAATCTACACTTCTGTCCATTACAAAATTAAACAAAAACTCGAGTAAATAAAAAAACACAATTCCCACTGAAGACTATGACCGTAGCTATGCATCTTAAGATCTATGGTTATTTTATAATAAATAAAGATGAATATTCAGAAGAGTTTACAAATTCTTGAGAACTTACTTATCTGAAAACTATCACAACTCTGGCCTATTCTCTTATGGCTTCTCTAACTATAAACAAACTGTTATAAAACAACTAACTGAATAAAGTTAGCCCAAAGGTTAACTACCTTGACGTATTAAAGCAAAGTAATCTGATTTTCAAAAAGTACATTAGGCCGGGCACGGTGGCTCACACCTGCAATCCCAGCACTTTGGGAGGCCGAGACGGGCAGATCACAAGGTCAGGAGTTGGAGACCAGCCTGACCAACTGGTAAAAACCTCTCTCTACTAAAAAATACAAAAATTAGCTAGGCGTGGTGGTGCACACCTGTAATCCTAGCTACTCCTACTCGGGAGGCTGGGGCAGGAGAATCACTTGAAGCCAGGAGGCGGAGACTGCAGTGAGCCAAGATCATGCCATTGCACTCCAGCCTAGGCAACAGAGCGAGGCTGTGTCTTGGAGGCGGAAAAAAAAGTACTTGAATATACAACTATCCAAACTCGGCCTGACCTACATTGTTTTAAGTGAAACTTTTTGTTAACTTAGGGCTGGGCGTGGTGGCTCATGCCTATAATCCCAGCACTTTGGGAGGCCAAGGCGGGCAGATCACGAGGTCAGGAGATTGAGACCATCCTGGCTAACACGGTGAAACCCCGTCTCTGCTAAAAATACAAAAAATTAGGCGGGCGTGGCGGCGGGCGCCTGTAGTCCCAGCTACTCGGGAGGCTGAGGCAGGAGAATGGCGTGAACCCGGGAGGCGGAGCTTGCAGTGAGCCGAGATCGTGCCACTGCACTCCAGCCCGGGTGACAGAGCGAGACTCCGTCTCAAAAAAAAAAAAAAAAAAAAGTTAACTTAGAAATTGTGAATAATGTGTTTGATCCTCTTCACTATCACTATAAACTGTTGGTTAAAGGGGATTTTGGAAGCTTGAAACCAAACAGGATACAAAATTCTTTGTATGTAATAGTCAGATTCCTGATAGTAGCTTACGAGTGTAAAGAAAAACACATTTAATCAAACAGGAATGATGCCTAAGTGAACAGCACCACAAAACAAACTTGGGGTGGAGTGGCCAGAGTGGACAGTAAGTTCTCTTGGCTCACAACATAACTGTTAGATTTACTTAAAAATCCGCAAGATTAGCTAGGTGTGGTGGCTCATGCCTATAATCCCAGCACTTTGGGAGGCCAAGGCGGATGGATCACCTGAGGTCAGGAGCTCAAGGCCAGCCTGGCCAACATGGTGAAACCCCGTCTCTACAAAAAATACAAAATTAGCCAGGCGTGGTGGCATGTGCCTACAATCCCAGCTATTCTGGAGGCTGAGGCAGGAGAATCA